CAAACAGACACATGCTTACACTCACACACATACACACACTTACAGAATACACACACACATACAGACACATGCTTACACTCACACACACATAACACACAGAATACACACACACACACACAGAGAGAGAGAGAGAGAGAGAGAGAGAGAGAGAGAGAGAGAGAGAGAGAGAGAGGTTGGACAGCCCTGAATTTATAAATTCATGAACCTAATCCCTATGCAATCGCTCCCTCCCTTTAGGAAGCAGATGCTGGGGTGCGGTGTAGTACTATCAAACACTTATGTTTCCTGTGATCAATTACACTCTGTAGAAAAGTCTTTGTACTTAAAGCTTTCTTCTGTGCATCAGATAATGTGCTTAGGACAGGGTGTCAACAGTGAGGTGTCAAAGCCCTATGGTAGTCTCTGAAAGCCACAGCATCTGTGGCAAGGATAAATCACCCCCAGTTCTAGGAGAGGAGGCTCCAGTTTAGGGAGCAAGGGCTCATAGATCTTTGATTTGGGCCAGTGAGACTTAACTGAAATTTGTGCTATGTTATCTTTGATTGTGGTCTGCTGCGTTTCTATCACTAATGACTGCCACTAGGGATCGCTAAGACTTCAGCAGGGCTGGGAGCACACATTGTGAGGCAGAGCTGCTACCGAAGCCCTGGTGAATGACAGCAGGTACAGCATCCATTGTACGTTTGCTATAGTTCAGATTTGATATGACAGAGGACTGGTACCTGGGAAGAGCTCTGTGAATGCATAGTACTTCTTTTTCCTTCCGGTAACACGGGCTGCGTATACACAAGGGCAAAGAAAGTTAGGCTGGGGCTCACGAGGTCCCACAGCTGCCGGCCAGGCTGCCAGGGAAGGCTGAGCCATGCAGGGCTTTAGGAGGCTGGCCCAGGGGCTTGTCAGGGTCAGGTGAGCATGACTGTCTGCAGAAAGTGGTGTAGCTGTGACTCAGTGACCTGAGTCCTCTTTCTCTTCTTGTGAACCAATTCACCGAGGTGGATGAGGCTCCCTCTCAGTGGCTGATTGGCCTGGGAACACCTTGCATGCTCCTGGGACCAGGGTCTGCGTCTTGTCTTGATGTAGAACTGCTATTCTCAAGGCCTGCTCTCTTGCCCATCCCTAATCTAGTCCTGTGGAGGGTCGGTTCTGCAGATCTGGCATAGAGATCTGGAGACCGTATTTCCTTCCACAGTCTGATATGGGTTACTCCGGTCATAGCAGGAGTATCCCCTGCTAGCTAGAGACTGGAAGACAAGTTTGAAGCCACCGACACCTGAGGAGTCACTTCACCTCAGAGGGTCCTGTGTTGTGAAATATTAGTTTAAGATGTGTTCCATTTGTGTATGCTGTGGAATATTTGTTTAATCATGCAAAGATGTGCTGTGTTCTTTTACATTGCATTTGTTTAACTCTGTGAGGCTGTGTTACTTTGCCTGCCTAAAACACCTGATTGGTCTAGTGAAGACCCGAATGGCCAATAGCAGGAGAGGGATAGGAGGGGCTGACAGACAGAATAGATAGGAGAAATCTAGGCTGGAGAGGAGAAAATTCTGGAAGATAGAGAAAAAAAGAGGAGGGTGCCAGGGACTAGCCACACAGCCAACCATAGAGTAAGAAAGCCTAGGTTAAAAAAAAAAAAAAGAGGCAAAATGTAGTTAAACAGAAACTATATAAGTTAAGTTATAAAGGTTGGCTAGAAACAAAAGCAAGTTAAGGCTGGGCATTCATAAGTAAGAGTAAGTCTCCATGTATTTATTTGGGGGTTGGATGGTGGGCCCCAAAGCGTTAAAAAAAACAACTACAGTCCTGTTTCTTTAAGCTCCTAGCCATTTCATCTTCATTTCTACCAGAGGGCCTTCATTCACCAGGCCACTGGCTTCTCAGAGGGTGGGAGAGGAAGCCACACACAGGAAAAACACCACTGACACTATGGCTAAAACATGTCTGGCTTTCCTATACTGAGAGTCATGGATGACACTCCGCTGGTGACCACTGTATCTCACAGGGGCCTCTGCTCCGTGAAAACTTGCTCCTTTTCATGTCTGTGTGTGTTGCGGTGACAGGTCACAGCTGCCTCCCCACCAGAAAATGTCTTGTGACTTCCTGTGTGGTATCTCTCGTGCTTGGAGTTCTCGCCACAGTGATTGCTGTTGGGATCACCTTCGGGAAGCCGGCAAGTATGTGGTGCCACACACATCTATTTACACTGCATTTGTTCTAAAGTGGGCGAACCTGTTGATGGGGAGTGGTTGGCATGTGCTATGTGCCAGCCATCAGCCATTTGCACATCCTCTTGTTATCCTCAACTCCAGCAATGTGCCTGTTATTGTGGCAGTTATGATGAACACTCAGGGAGAGAGGACAGCTTGCCCTGGATCATGTAACTACGAAGTAAACAAGCCAGCGTTCTGACTCAGGTCGGACCAATTCTGAAGTGTACACAGGATATGGTCTCTTCCTTCAAGGAATTTCCACTGTAAATAGGGCTGTGGGTGGTGGAATAGCGTATAATTAGACATTAAATTGGAGAGAAATCAGCCAGGACTAGTGATGAAGGGACAAGGATGTGAAAGAATTGGAATGGAGCCTTGTAGGGACGCTTGGATCCCTGAGTTTAGACTGTTTCAGGGGCAAAAGGACAGACTTTGTCCTGCATCAAACCTGAGGTATGTAAGGAAGAAGTATGAAAAATGACACTAAGAATCAGGTCAGGTGTGGGGAGGGGAGAGCAGGTGGGTCACACACTCGAGTCAGCCTGGACTGCATAGCAAAGAGGAGCTCAAAACCAACCAAACAAACAAAGTGGCCTCTGTGGACAAGGGCATACTTGCTGCCAAGCCTGATGACCTGAGCTCAGTCATCGAGCCCCACGTGGCAGAAGGAGAAAATCAACTCCAGCAAATGGTTCTTAGCCCTCCACGTGAGTGCTGTGGCTGGCACATGTACACATGCACACACGTACACAAATAAATCAATAAATAAATGTGAAAGAATTAAAAACAAAACCTCAACGTGAGAAACGGGTGTTGACTAAAAAGTAAAATGTGGTCCAGCATCGAACAACCGTTGCAATTATACACATATGCACATGTGCACACACATGTATAACCAATGCTCCCTCTTGCATCTCCTAGCATGCGACCTCCCCCTGCTGTGATGTGCTTCCCTTCCATTGTTCATTAAACTCCAGTGAGGTTTAAGATCGAACTCAGATGTCCCCGGGGTCTCTATACTGGACAGTCTCAGGCCCTCGACTCTGGGCCCACCTCCCTGCTTTCCCAAACAGCCTAGTTAAGGTCAGCACTGCAGAGACCTGCAGCCAGCCCATGCTGTAGCATGTGGGACTGTGCTCCAGGGAGGACTCTTTGCATGCAGACCTTCTTTAACCCTGTCCTGCCCGGGCATTAGACTTGCGCCAGGGTTTAGTGTTCCCTCCGCCCTTCTCCTTCCTAGTCATTGTCCCAGGTGCTAACTTCCCACCACAGAGCCACATCTCATCCCATCCTGGTATCAGTTTTTCAGAGGGTCCAGACTTGTCACACAGAATCTACTGGTGACACAAACTGATAGCAATTCCTTCAGATGACCAGAACTAAGGATTCTTGCTTCTAAAACCACAGTGCCAGCACCCACTGGATCTGGTTTTATCTACCTCTTTATTGTTCAAGATGAAAATGCACCCTCGCCGAGCAAACTCCAAACCAAGCACCTCAGATATCCCCCCCCACACACACTGTGTACCACTTTGCACAGCCACAAGGGATTGTAGGGGAAGACACACTATGCTGAGATGCATGTGTCACCAGTGTTGTGGAATATTATTTTACCTCACTTTACCTGCCTGAGACACCTGATCAGTCTAATAAAGAGCTGAATGCCCAATAGTTAGGCAGAAAAAAAATAGGTGGGGCTGGTAGGCAGAGAGAAGAAATAGAAGGAGACTTCTAGGCTTGCGAGAAGAAAAGGAAAGAAGAAAGAGAACGGGAGAAAAAGAGGGAGGAGTCCAGGGCAGAAGCCAGGCAGCTGCCAGAAAGACTGGAAGACAGCAGAAAGTAAGACATGTAGAAAGAATGAAAGGTAAAAAGCCCCGAGGCAAAAGGTAGATAAAGAGAAACAGGTTGATTTAAGTTAAAAGAGCTAGCCAGAAGCAAGCCTAAGCTAGGCCTAGCGTTCATAACTAAAAAGTCTCCATATCATGATTTTGGAGCTGGTTAGTGGCCCAAAAGAAAAAGTCTGATATATACCAGCATTTCTATAACTTAACTTCCATCGGTTTTTTTTTTTTTTCATAGCACTTGAGATGTTTTAAAAAGACCTCTCCCTTTCAAATACGTAGATTCCGTTATATTTTAAAATATATCAGGTGAGGGCTGAGGGTGTAGCTCAGTGGTAAAGTACTTGCCTAGAATATAAGATCCCTAGGTTTTATCCCAGCTCTGTAAACACGAGGCCTGGTGACACAAACTTGTGATCACAGTACTCAGGCAGAGGCTAGATCACGTTCAAGGTCAGTAATTCAGTAATTTGAAAGTCAGTTTGGGCTAAGATATGTTATCTCAACATTATCATCGGTCATCATCATCATGCGTTATAACTTACTGTTACATCACTTGCCCAAGTTCAATCTCTAGAACTTCAAAAAAAAAAAAAAAGAAAAGAAAAAAGAAAAATCTTAATTTAATTTTACTCACAATATGACCATGAGGTTGACATAGCAAGTTACCTTTGTTCTTACCTCAGCTAAGAAAATAATAGACAGGACTGTATACCCAATCCATTACAGAGCTCACACCAGGCCTGTTGACCCCTCATCTGTCTGTTATTACCTCTTGCTGGGAGTGAGTCTACACTTGTTTGCCAGATGCCAATGGTTTTGAGGGAAAAGGAAGAACCATCACGTTAAGAAGGCCTACCCCTGGAGAGTTTTGGAGTACGGGTGGGAAAGGATGGAGAAGAAATAATGGGGGCCGTGTCACCAAGCAGGTGAGGGTAGAACACCTGGCATTCTTGCATCTTTCAGATCAGATGTCTCACCAATGCAGAACAGCTTCACAGCAGCCAGGCTTCCTGTGTGAGGACCACGCCACTTGCTTGCTGCCCTCTCTGCTTTGTGACGGCAAGATGGACTGTGGTGATGGCGGGGATGAATCTGCTACCTACTGTGGTGAGGTGGACAGTAGTGGGTTGTACTCTTTGGGGGCCTGCCGCCCAGCTCCCAAATAAACAGACAGAGGTTTATTGTTTCATATGAATGCCCAGCCTCAGCTTGGCTTGTTTCTAGCCAGTTTTGCTTAAATTATCCCATCTACCTTTTGCCTCTTGGCTTTTACCTTTCTCTATGCTGCATACCTATTTTTACTTTTCACTCCACAGCTTGCTGAATAGCCGGGTGGCTGGCCCCTGGTGTTCTTTCCCCTTTTCTTTCCTCGATCCCTGAGCTCTCTTCCCAGATTTCTCCTCCCACTTATTATCTCTGCCTGCCAGCCCTGCCTATTTCTCTCTCCTGCCTTGCTATTGACCATTCAGCTCTTTATTGAACCAATCAGGTGTCTTAGTCAGGCAAAGTAACACAGCTTCACAGAGTTAAACATGTAACCTAAAAGAATGCAACACATCTTTGCATCATTAAACAAATATTCCAAAGCAAAAACAAATAGAGCCATCAAGTTAAGAAGGCCTTTGCTGCCAGGCAGTGGTGGTGCACACCTTTAAATCCCAGCACGCAGGAGGCAGAGGCAGGGGAATCTGTGTCCGAGATCAGCCTGGTCTACAGAGTGAGGTCCAGGACAGCTAAGGCTCCACAGAGAAACCCTGTCTTGAAAAACAAAACAAAAAGGGCCATCCCTGGAGAGTTTTGGAGTATGGGTAGGAAAGGAAAAAAGGAAAAGAAATAATAGGGACAGTAGCACCAAGCAGGTGAGGGTAGGATACCCAGCGTTCTTGCATGTTTCACACTGGATGTCACCAATGATGGATTAGGTATACAGTCCTGTCAGCCCTAGGATGGATTAGGTATACAGTCCTGTCTATTTTTTTTTTTTCCTTCAACTAATATTCTACAACAGTGGACGAAGTAAAGAACAATGGCCAGGGCTGGGCAATGTGGTGCATGCCTTTAATCCCAGCACTTGGGAGGCAGATGCAGGTGAGTCTCTGAGTTCAAGGCCAGCCCCAGCTAGGTCTATTCAATAAGACCCTATCTTTAAAGCAGCAACAGCAGCAGTAATAGTACTAGTAAGCTAAAATTCAGAATTACCATTTAAACATTCTCATGAATCATTTTTCTATTAGAAATAATTTGTTTGTACAATATAGGTCAAATGCCCAACAGTCTCCCACAAAACTTGATTTTCAAGTGTCCTGACCAGAAGACATGGATATATGTGGACAGGGTGTGTGACACAAGAAATGACTGTGGTGACTGCTCAGATGAATCAGGTAAAAATGAAAATTCCATAGCTGATCTTTTTAATGGCTGCTGGGAGTGGCTGCCCTTACACTTTGATTATGGAAATTTGCTCTAACTTAGAAACCTCCTAAAGGGGATTTACATACACAAACCAGGAAACTTCATCATTCCCGGGACTGCAGGGAACTAACTCCAAGGTAGAGAGCAGGCTTAGGCAGACTGAGGATCCCAGCTTCTATTCCTAGCCCCATCACAAAAAAACAAATAAGAAGGAGAGAAGAGGGAGGTAGGAGGAAACGGGGGTGGGGGGAGAAGAGGGAGGGAACTACATTATTTCATTAGTTCATGTCTGTTTAAAGTAGGCATGTTCTCCGGCAAGGAAGTTAACAAAGTGAGTTTTGCAAGAAAAGGTTCTTAATTAGAAAGCTCTCGTCTACTGTCAACTCGCATTTGGGTTTCTCTGGCAAGTCTGAAAGATCCAAGGAAGGTTTGTCCAGTGCTTTAGCTCTCAGAAAACTAGTTGCTAACCTGGTCTTTGCTCCCTCATTTCCACCCTAGTCCCCCATCATGTTACCAACATGGCTCAACACTGAGCAGCACCCATCCCCACTTCACAGGCAGGCAAAGCCCTAGCCAGGAGATACAATTCCAGTGCATTAGCATCAACTGATACACTGGAAAGCTCTACCAGAGACACAGGGATCAGCTCTTTGCCACTGTTGCAGTTAAGGAGAGGTCTTGCTCTGTAACAAAGGATGGAAGTGTGAAGAGGGCCTTTGCCTCTGGCTAGCTGCCAATTAGCAAAGGCCTGGTTCCCCTGCTGACTGATTGCCCCAACTCAAGGGGATCCTTCCCATGTCAGTATGTTTACTTTGGACTGATAGGTAGAGGCAGTTTCGTCTCTGGCATTTCAAAATATGTGTAGAATCTTCAATAACCATCTGCAGTTTTCCCATGAGATAGTTTCACTAGTACATAGTCTTAAACCTAGAGGGCTATTTCTTGTCCAATAGTACTTTTTTCCCAGTTGACATTTTAAGCTATGCTTTTAAAAATAAATACAACTGTCTAGTTTCACAGTGCCCAGTGTGCTCAGGCTGGAGATGTGACACTGTTTTCTTCGCTGACTGTGCCTGCATTCCCAGAAGTCGATGCAGAAACGGCATCCAAGACTGTGCTGACTGGAGTGATGAAACCCTGTGTGATTAGGGCTATAATCGAGGTTTCGGGAAAGCTGAAAAATGTCTTTTGCTTTAAAACTTCTCTCAAAGTACACTGGCATGTCTGTCTTACATATTTACCTTCCTGGAAAGTAGAGTAACCTGTGTTGCCTGTTAACAAAGGAAACTGGCAGAAATCAGATGGGACTTGAGGTCCCTGTTCTAAATTTGTTTGCAAATAGCCACAGGGTTCTGTGGGAAGCACATATGTGTACATGTACTCTCATACATACATACATATATATATATATAAATAAAAGCAATCTTATTTTACTTATCAATCCCCTGCTTCCCTCTCCCTCTCATGCTCCCTACCAACCCCCCAACTTACCCCCCTACCCACTCCCCAAGGATAGTAAGGCCTTCCATGGGGGAGGTCTAGGCCCTCCTCTGTGTTTCTGGGCTGAAATAGTAACCGTCCATAAGGAATGGGCTCCCAAAGACCATTTGTGCACTAGGGTCCCACTGTTAAAGGTCCCATAGACTGCCCAGGCCTCCTAACCGGCACCCACATTCTGAGGGGTTGTTTCAGTCCAATGCTGGTTCCCCAGCATCATGACTGGGGTCCCTGTGACGTCATTAGATCAGGTCAGCTGTTTCTGTGGGTTTTTCCAGCATGGTCTTGACTTCTTTGCTCATCTCTCCTCCCTCTCTACAACTGAATTCCAGAGTATGGCTCAGTGCTTAGCTGTGTCTGCTACTTCCATCAGCTATTGGATGAAGGCTCTAGGATGGCACTTAAAGTAGTCATCAATCTCATTATAGGGGAAGGGCATCAAAGGTGGCTTCTCCATTACTGCCTAGATTCTTAGGGTCATCTTTATGGAGCTCTGACTATTTCCCTAGTGCTAGATTTCTCTGTAAACCTATACTGGCTCCCTCTTCTAAGGTATCTCTTTTCTTGCTCTCCTTTATTCCTCCCCCAACTCAATCTCCCTGATCCCTCTTGTTCTCCCCCCTTCTCCTCTTCCTTCCCTCCCCACCCCTGTGGTGCCAATTTGCTCAGTTCTTGTCCCTTTCCCCTTCTTCAGGGGTCCAACATATGTACTCTTTATTTTAACCAGTATGAAGAAAATTAAGTCTTGAAATTTTGTTTTAAAGTTAGCATATGAAGTATTAGATGTCGTTACGGCATTTTTCAAATGAAGTGTGCTTTAGTAGACAGCCTCCATGCTCCTTGTAACTTCCCCGGTAGCCTCCTTCCCATTGTGTCCTTCTGTCCCCATCTCTCCCTTCAACATCTCTTTAGCCTCTCTGGGTCTCTTTTCTAGCCTTTGAAGACTTTGTTAATACTTATTTCTATGTGAAGGTACGTATTACAAGCTAGGATCTGCATATTAGAGAATGTAGTTTTTGTCTGAGTTTGGGACCCGTGTTCCTGGAACTTTTTCTCTCTCTTCACAGTGAAATAAAATTCCATTGGGCATCTATTCCACAATTCTCACTATCCATCTGTGGACAAGAATCTAGGCTGGCCACACTTCCGTGCTGCTGTGAGCGCAGCAGTAACGAGCCTGAACGTACAAGCAGCGCCTTGGTGGTAGGGTACATAGCCAGGGTTAGGATGGCTGGGTCACACGGCAGTTATTTTGGGGAACACCCTTACTGATTTCCATAATGGCTGTTGTCATTGGCACTCCCAGTATTTATAATTAAGGGTTCCTCTTTCCTAAATCCTTGCCAGCATGTGATGTCAAGTTTCTTGAAGGTGGCTGTTCTGACTGGGGGAGGTATTACTTCTAAGCAGTTCAATTTGCATTTCCCTGGTGGCTAGGGAGAAAACCAGCCTTAATCAACAGTCAAAAAAATCATCGGTAGACCAGACCTTTAACCTTTGGGGACCCAGTAGGTAGTGACCTGGGTTTGAATCTCACTAAGTAATTTCACCCCGTACAGATATTTCTTCATCTGTTCATGGCCCTCTTTTAGGATTTTAATAATTAGAAAAACAAGTGATTGTGCTGTACTTCACCAGTGGTAGCCAGAAATTATAGACAAAGAGAACCTGCAAGGAGAGGGTAGATTGTGCTACTGTTACTAACACGAGCTACTCTAAACATGAGAAAGGACCTTCCACAACCCCATGGCCACTCCAGTGACAGTGCTGTCCCCTGGCTGTGATCTGTGGAAATTACGTGTGTCAACCCCAGCCAGAGTTTGAGCAGCCAGCTGATGATGCCACCTTTTCTCACATGAGGCTGGCAAGGTTCTAATTGTTCCTGCAATCAAGTAGAGCATAAGCAAACAAGGCGTCAAATGTGATGAGCCTTTCAAGCTAGTTCCTGGCATAATAGGGATTATGAAGGAAAATGTTCCCTCATTAATCCACAGCTACCAACACACTACTATCAATGAAAAACCAGCAAAGACACTTGTAGAGGCTGAGGAATGGTTAGTGGCACCCACAGCTGGAAACCCTCCTAGAAACCTAAATCACAGCAGCCAAAACCGAAGGAATGTCACTGTCACCTTAAGAGTTGACATCCTGGGCCAAAGTGAGAATGTTTCTAACTTCACAACCTAGAAACCAACTCCTAACTCATTCACAGCATTCCAGCTCAGCCATTCCATTTGCTTGGATTCTAAAAATGAATTTTCCCAGTAAACATTTATTCTGTTTTCTATGGCTGAGTCAGAGAGTGTCCCATCATTGGGCAAGCTGTGATACAATGTGTTTACAACCAGTCTTACCCACAAATGTCTGGCAGTCACTAGGATTTTTAGCGGAGACCTCAGGATCCTTGTTACTGTAGGAGTCTACCTTGAGGGATGACAGAATAACTCTGCACAATCCTTCCAAATTCACATTTGAAACAACTCTGCACAGTAACTCTGGAATGCAGCTGTATAGCATCTTACAAGGACAAACCACAGTATACAATTTAAAACCACCTCAATAGTAAAGGCAATTCTCAGCTCTCCTCTGTGGCTCAAGTCAAGGGAACTTGGTGGGCATGATGGAACTGGTCACTATTCTGATCATGATGGCAGTTACAGGGTATGTTAACACAGAGCCTTGGAGATTAGTAACTGAAAGTATCAGGTTACACATACAAAATGGAGGCACTAGTTCATACCCCACTAAGTTAGAATATAATGTTAAGACTGAGAAGGATGGCTCGGCAGTTAAGTGCACCTGCTGCTCTCCCAGAGAACACAGGTTCCATTCCCAGCACATACATAATACATACTCTGAGGCTCTCAACCATCTACAAGCCAAGTTCCAGGGATCCAATACCCTCCTCTGACTTCTACAGGTGCCAGGCACGCACCTGGTGCACAGAAAAGATGGCTAAGAATACTATACATTTATAATAAACAATACCAAGAGAACAAGCACCCTGGTTTTCCCACAGAATACTGTTCTCATAGCACATCTACCACATAGAGCAGGAAGCCCCAAGGGTTGGTGGAGAGGCAAATTCTCCAGCACACTTTCAAACAATTGTTGAAATTTCACCAAATGCTATCATTACAACCACACACCATGATCAACTTTCTATAAACTGCTTACTGGGTATAGATGAGTGTCAAATAAATAATAAGCCATATACTAGGCAAAGAATTTTATTAACCCCTTTCCAAACTTTATTCCCAGGCTTCTTCAGCTTAATTTGCTGCAAAGAATGAATTGTGTTTAAGCAAAAACTGAAAAGAGCTGCAGTGTCCAGGGGCTTAAAAATATTAGAGATCTAGATTTTATCAGATCCATAAACAAAAGAATTTTAAAAAGCAGTCATGATATAAAATAGCAGCTCCTGTGACTTCTGCAAGTGTCACCTTCTTCAGAAGTTGCCTCAACTCAGTTTGCCTCGTTCTTAGAAGCCTCATCAAAATTCTCCACCAGATCTAGAAAGAATCAAAACAGACATCCTGAAAAGCCAATTCTACAAAACAACTTACAGGTATTTATGGAAACAATCTCAAACTTAAACACCTGTCACCTCCAAAGGGGCTACTTTGGCACAGGAAGTGTGGTCTGGCATATCTACTGGAGTGGGCATCATGCTTCATGCTTTAAAAAAAATCTGTTTATCACTCATCCTCCCTCAATTTAAGAACTAAATCCACTGATGAATATAACAGACTACCATGACATGATCTGAGTCTTTCTTGGGTTTCAGGGACATCTGCTGAAACTAGAAAATGTATGCATTTTTTTATTCTTCTACAGGACATACTCAAGGTAATTTACTCAGATGTGGTATCATATGTCTGTAACCCCAGCACTCCAGAGGATGAGTCAGAAGGTTCTCAAATTGAGCTACATATTGAAACAATGTTTCAAGTAAACTATATAAAGAAAAACACTGCTAACCAAGTTACTCAGCGTCAGAACATCACACCAAGATATTTAAACCTCTCCATGCCATTTCATATCCCTGCTTCCTCCCATTCCCTGGCTTTAACTTATCACCACCATCACCAGCCCAGAAGTTTTTCTGTAAAAGATTAATTTTTCTCCCTAGCTAAGTGGTTCTTACCAGGGACTTCATCATCATCATCCTCTCCAGTAGCAAGTGGTGCTTTTCCATCCACAGCTGAGAAAGAAAAATGAAAATGTAGCCAACCTATTTCTTCAGATCAATGAACATCAACCACAAGAACATATGAAACGCTAAGTCACAATTCACATTGGTGATGAAAGTGACATCTGAGTTTTCACCTATTTGACCAATAACATGAAATTTTGATGGGCACAAACTACCAAAATACAGGTAACAGTAACTCTGAATATACTGAGAACAGTGAGAGTAGGAAGCGCTGAGTATAGATAAATCCATAAATTATGGTCAGGCTTATTTTGGGAGGCAAATGACGAGGTCAGCCATTTCCCTAAATATTCTGTGCATGGCACAAAGCCCAATGAATACCAAAATAAAAAATTAGGCCAAATGTGGTGACTCACACCTATCAACCACCTTCGAATGCAAAGGCAAGATTACAGCAAACTTCAGGCAGTCAAGGCTACATGGGGAGACAGACCTATCTCAAAAGCCAAGGGGAAGAACAAACAAACCAGACAAATTTAAAGTGTCTTTCACCTATCAAGTAAGCACTGTTCCTCTTTTCCTTCCCCTTTCCATTCTGAGATATTAGGAACTGAACTCAGGGCCTTGAATATGCCAGCAAGAACTCCCACAGAGCCTCACTACCAGACCTCTTTTTAATAAATATATTTTAAAGGCAGTTTAATTTGCCCAGTCTTTCAAGGCATAAACATTTCCAAGTTGTAACTCTTATTTTAGCCTCCCCAGTGGCCAGCATCACCGGGCCATCACACCTAGAGCATTTTCATCAACAGAAAGATCTGAGAGTGAACAGTTCTAACCCACACAGCCACCAGTGGAGATCAAAAGCTGACCTCAAAGATCAAGATGACCTAACACATCTTGCTGCTCCTCCCTTAAGAAAAGCATAAAACAAATCAGCATCTAAGGAAATGGCAAGCCATAGATTAAACCTCTTGACTTCCTTCTGCATTCATATTGTTAATTTTTAAGCCAAAACATCCAGCATAAAGTTGTCACACCACCCCTGATGGCTATTCTTGGTTAATCTGACACCCAGGGGGGAGGAACCGAAATGCCTCCATCAGATCAGCCTAGTGCCATATATGCACGACATTTCCCTTTACTGCTAACTGATGTAGGAGGGACCAGCCCACTGTAGGCTAGTACCATCCCTGGGCAAGTTGGCCCAGGATAAGAAAGGCTGTCCAGGGCCAAGTGGTCAGCCCTGAAATCATACATGTAAGTTAACATTTTACACACCAAACGGGTTATATTTAGAAATGTGTGGGTATACATATACCCATACAATAACAATTAATGAAAAAGGTTATGAATTTAAAAAATAGGGAAGGTTATATAATAGGGTTTGGGGGTGAAGGAAAATGTAATTATTATCTCAAAAATAAAAGGCAGTTAGTTGATTGTGAGCCAATAGGCATCATTCCACCATGGTTTTTGTCTCAAGTTCCTGCCTTGGCCTCCTTTGATGAACTGTAAAGTGCAATGAAATTGTTGCTTTTGGTCATGATGCTTATTGTAACAGAAATCAGAGAACACAGCCTGTTGTAGGCATAGGCTACTGTCTGCCCTAAACAAAAACCCTATCAAATTATAACCTGAAGCACCAAAATATTGGTACCATTTATCTATGGAATAATAATTTATTGTGTTTATAAATTAATTAAGAGCCCCAAAAGTCACCTAACACAAAGACTGTAAATAAGGAGACGGAATGCTGGTTTTGGTGTGTGGCCCAGGCTGGTTTGGAATGCTCTAATTCCAAACTCCCTAGTTCAGCCTCTCAAGGTGTTACCAAGTGTGAGTCACCATGCCCAGCCTGTCAATTCTAACCCTAAGTACCAGCAAAACCAACACTAAGGTTTTTTTTTCATTTCTAACCAATAAAGATAAATTTTTAGTGATTCATACCTAGTAAGCTGGTAAAAGACAAACATCCACTAAAATCAAGTATAACGATCACAGAAAAACTAGACACTATCAGTATAAATAAGAATGAGCAAAAGCTGTTAAAGGTGTATTATTCTTTTAGGTAATTAAGTTGGCATTCTATGTATTCTTAGCAATTCTGAGCCCCGAGATCACACAAAGGTGAGGACACTCACATTGTTTGGGCAGAGCTTCAGCCAGTCTCCTTAAACTAGTCAGACTGTCTGCTCCAAGCTGGTTTAGGATGCTGGGAAGCATTTCTGTCAGCTGCTTTGTCTCAGCGTGGCCTGTAATGGTGAAGGTGTTTGCTGCCAGAGACGCCTGAACTTTAGGGTTGTTAAAATGGATCACTGTTCCTTGGTTTGTAAACATGTTCACCTATAAGAAAATATAATTATTGTAAGTAATATTCACCAAAGATTCCTTTAAAAATCAATGTTTTTATAAAACTAAAACCTGGCTGAGTTTTTCCCTTTGAAGCACAGGTGACAATTTCTCTGGAATGTGTAAACAAGTAACTTCCTGGCTTCCCAATCTTCCAGACGTTCAAACATCTAATGGGGCACAAACTACATTGCTAAAAGCAGAGGCAAGACAATTATTTAATGTATGAGCATTAAAACTTTCCAGTTAGGCTGTGCTTTAACACTCACCTCTTCAATACCAGAGATATTGTTCACCCCTAACTTCTTTAAGGAGAACTGCAGTTTTTTGTCGTCTGCTGTGGCTGTTCTGTGGACCACCTTCTTCTTTCTGCGAGCAGTTCCCTGGTGGGATAAGGACAGACAGCACATTTACTCCATAGCAGTCTATCCTAATTCTCTGCAGACCTTTCCTTCTGAACAAGACAGTTAACCAGACAAAGCATGGTGGCAACCAAATACCTTTAGTCCCAGCACAGGCCCATATAATTTTAAAAATAGTTACCAAACCCACAAACCATAAAGTTAAGAAGGCAGGTTACGATGTAAGTATGGGAAAGGAATACTAATGAATTTTTCATAAGCACTAGTTTGTCAGATGCAAACTGTCTCTTACAAGTTCTAACATAAGTCTTTTAAAAAGTGATCAGAGGTGGCCAACCTAAATGAAACTGCATTTATACCTTTTGTTTTTAGAGAAAAATCAAGGTCTCAATTAATACTCACTGTTGGGATAGTAAACGAAGTAACTAATGAATCTGTAAACAGAGGTCTATATTACAGCCCAGAGTATAAAGCTAAAGTTCTTAACCCATAGAGATCTTTCCAACCAAATAAGCCTTTTTGATGTTCCTTAAAGGAGAACAGCAGGCTAGTCCCCTGGTGCTTCTCTGAATGCTATCCCTCTTCCCTGGAGCACATTTCTTCCTCGGTATACCACCCAACCAAGGACATCCACAAGAATCACTGTCTTTCCTAGTCTACTTTTCTTGTTATTCTTACTCTTTTTTTTTTTTTTCAAAATCCTGTTCCAGCTATTATCCCCTCTGTCTTCAAAGCCTCAACTCTGCACTAACTGCACAACTTGCTAAGCCACTCCCAACTGTATACTATGAAAAGACTTCTATAACACTAAACACAACACCACCAGCAAAAGATTAGATTCCAAACTACAGGCTACCACCTACAGATTCCACACACTAAGAATCGGCAGCTTTTCCATTAGACACTGAAAGGGGTCTTGAATAGTATTAACCCGGAAGCACATAAATCTACCACTGCTTTTCTCACTCACACTGAGGTTCTTAAAAGGTACAGAAAAATGTTCCTACATTATGGCTGGAAACATTTTGTCTTAGATTAACAAATACTAGATACAAAGTCTACTGTATCAGATTAACTTGGAAGGCTTTTATTTTCCCTAGAGACGCCCCTCAAAGTTAAAGCCTCTTGATTAGAGGAAACCACCGTGCACACAAGCACATCACCCCAAAAGGCTTTAAACATCCAATGTTAGTATCATGAATGGAAACTGAAGATTACAATTGTCAGCAGAGGCAAATCAGAAGGATGTTAACTACTAGCCGAGTCAGCTAACTTAGCAGAGCTGTGTCTTATTTAACCTATACCCAACATCTGGTTATCTCAGTGAAAACCATCCTGAAGGACAATTTAATAGGTAGTAAACTGGTACTAGGGAAGCTCCACAAGTTTTACCAAGTAAAGACATGCTCTGATTCAACCAGCTGACACCACACCTTCATTAAACACTTGAAATGTGCTAACACAATACATGAAACTAGGGAGAGCTCTATCTGGAATACACCAGATTAGCGAACCAAACACCAGGTTCAATAAAGAATCTTTATTAAACTCAGTAACGCCAGGAGCAACCAATTAGCTCCCACTGTAGGGTAATTACAAAGAGAACGGAACAAAACAAAAAAAACAAAAAACAAAAAAAAAAACCTAACACTGACCATGAATTCCAAAAATACACCAAGTAAGGAAGGTATCCTCAAATACCCTGATGAGTATTTAGTTCAGAAGCATTGCTGGAAGGTCTTAATTTACAAAAATAAAAGTATCTAAGCATTAAGTAGAACAAACCAAAAAACCCCAAGACTTACTGGGGGCATACGCAGTAGCACATGTCTAGCTTATACTAGAACCTGTGTTTGAGCTCCAGTACAGCTTAAAAAGGGGAAATTTTTTTTTTTTTTTTTTTGTACAAGTGAAGGGTAGAGGGTGTACAATGATTTGGCAGACAGGACCTTTCCCCCCATTAATAAAATCAAATATACATCCCTGTTTACATTCTGTAATCTTAAAACAGGCAAATAAATAAGGTTTTAAGTGTCATTTCCTTCTTTACTAAATTACTCGCCCCCCCCATCCAGCCTCCACATCTCTTTGTATGTCTCCTCTCCCTCGGATCTGCAAGCATTGCGAACGTCCCCTGCTAAGCAAAGTGACAAAGCAGGGCGAGAAACGCAAAGGGCATGGAAAAAAAAAAAAAAAGTAGAAACAAAACCAACAAACTTACTTTGCCACCAATGCGCACTTGTGCCTGCAGCTTGGCCAGTTTCTCCTGGTTCATGATCGTTTCTTTCATCTGGAAAGGGAGGAAAATCCTCAGCAAAGAACGGTCGGGGCTCAGCCCAGCATTCCACGCTCGTTATTCCCCACGACACCGGCAGGAAGGAGAACGTCCCCCGCCAGGCTGAGGCCTGCGTCCCCCAAATTCACAACTGCAGAGCCGGCTCGGGGCGAGCCGGGGGAGCACAAGCGCTCCCGCCCCTCCCCGCGTCCAGGCCCAGACTCGGGCTCCCCCCGCCCCAGCCGCCCCGGCCCGGCCCCCACCCGCGGCCCCGGCCCGGCCAGGGCCCGCCCGGCCCGGCCCCTGTCCGCAGGCCTCGCGGTACCTGAGGCTCCCGTCCTCGGGTTCCGCCGAGAGGTGGAGGGAGAGACGGCGTCGCCTCGCCCCCGGGGCAGCCGCCCCTGGCTCGCCCTCGCCCCCGAGAGTCAGCCTGAGCGGGAGCGCCCGTCCGTCGCATCGCTCTCCTCGCCTCAGCCCTGTCCCTCCCTGCCTCGCTCCAGCCGGGAACTGCCCGCCCCCGCTCCCGTCCTCCTCCCACGCCGGCGTCCGCAGCCTTTTTGTACCTTGTCGGAGTGGAAATGGGGCCGCGCGGGGGACTAGGGTTCGCGCTCAGGGGGTCTCGGGCAGACCGGCTGAGATAAGGCGCACACACGCGGGGACGCAAGATGGCAGCTAGAGGGAGGCCGGAAGTGACGCGTCGCCACTTCCGACGGAACTCAGGGGACCTGGCGTCTCTGCGCACGCGCAGCCGGTCCCCCCACTCCCCGCGGCGAGGGTGCGGGTCCGCTGGGCTGCGTGTTCTTTCCTTGTGTCCCGCGGCGTGCTCGGAGCAGCGCGGGAGAGCCGGGAGCCGCGGAGCCTGGCGGAGCCTGGCCGCGCCGCCCTCGCAAAGGCTCTCCCCGCGGAGCTGCGGCTCAGTCGGTCAGTCTGCCCCGCGTCCACCCTAGGACGTCCAGCGCGAGTGCTCAAGGCCGGCTGCAAATAAGACACTATCAACACCGGGGAAGCTAGTGTTGCTTTCCAAAATTAGGTGGCTTGAGTGATGTGGAGAATCGCGATTCGGACTTTCTAGAAAGCGTGTTCAGATTTCATCCCGGTGCTCCACCCATCAGAGCAATTCCTTGTGTTCAAGGTTGAAACTTCTAACCACCCTTAACCCTCCGCCCCACTGCCGTCGCCTGCTCTCTACTCTCTTGTAGGCAAACAGTTGACTTCTCGATATCGAATCTGCGTGGTTTTGACCATGAATCATTCACAATGGAGCAAATTTTACCCTTAGCAGTAGAATCAGACGAATTAGGGCCTGATGTGCTTGGAGAAAAAAAAGGGTGGCTGTGTGTTTGCCGAACTCCAGTACAAATTGTGTTCCATCGTGGCTGCATTTTTTGTTGTGTGGCGTGGTAGATGTTTTGAAAAGTGTCTTGGTAAGTAGTCCTGGCTAGCCTGAAACAGCTACCCTCCAACCTTGGGTGCCCTCCCCCCCTGTCCAGCGCTGGGATTACAGCAGCGCCTTTCACAGACAAGTTTTAGAACAACCTTAAAAACCACCTATGTGGAGAAAAAAATAAGTTTAAGTGAAAATTCTGTGTGGTCAACCTTCTTGCATTCATAGTTTTGGGATGCTTTTGAATATTCAAAAGTGAAAGGGTGTTAGACAATTGAGAGAAAATACAGTTTATTGGAAAAACCTGTATAGGTGAATGCCCCTCTAGCTAAAATCAAGGTTTTTTTTTTCTTGGAAAACTGTTTTACAAGAAAGTTTACTGCAACAGTGAAGTAATTAAGAAAATCAGGAGGGATAACTAGGTTGCGTTGTAAAGTGATTGTAACAGTTTTTTTTCTTGAAACAATGTTTCTTTTATCCAACTGATAAGTTTATCCCAGAAAACTGTGCTTGTTGTCTGAGCTATGTAATTACCAAGTCTAACCATAAAGATCCAAATAACTGCTGGTCGGTGGTGGCACACGCCTTTAATCCCAACACTTGGGAGGCAGAGGCAGGTGAATCTCAGTGAGTTCGAGGCCAACCTGATCTAAAATGTGAGTTCCGAGGCAGTCACAACTGTTACACAGAGAAAACTTACCTTGAAAAAAACAAGCAAAAGAATCCAAATAACTGAGGTGAGGCAACAGTATTCAGTGTTACAGAAAATGTGTAAAATATATAATTGTGTTACATGTGCTTTATGAAACACAGAACGCAGAACTGGTTCTTTTTAAAGATTTTCACAGCTATAAAATATTTTATCCTTGGTGTTATACTGAGGGCATGTGTAACTTCTTAACCATGATGTTTTCTAAATTTTTACTTAAAACTCTACATATATAACTGATACCTGTCTTTTCTTTTATACCAATATTCAAGAAATGTGACTTATTTTATTTTTGCTTGTTCCTACATGGCACTGAAGACTTGTACAATCTTGAAAATCACCAGTAACTTCCTAATTCTAAGGGAAGACTGTATATTTTGACTCTTGCTCTTTTTGTGCTTATTTAATGGGCATAGGAACTTTAGATGTTGCTATTATTTATGTACTAGTCTTTTAAAAAATAATCAAAGGGCTTGGGTGATGGTGGTGCACACCTTTAATCCCAGCATTTAGGAGGCAGAAGCAGGCAGATCTCTGTGAGTTCATGGCCTGCTTGGTCTTTAAGGTGGTTCCAGGCCAGCCAAGTGTACACAAACCCTGTTTCAAAACAAACCAACAAAAAACCTGAAGAGCTTTGTTGTTGTTTTGCTCTTCCCTCAGTAGTTACCACTTTGTAATCTTAGCACACAGGACTGCTGTTTCCCACATGCTCCCCATATCTCCATCATTTACTGCTCATATAGAACAGCGCAAGTGCTTATTTAGCATTCGAGATGGCCTCTGTCAACAGAGAAGAAGGGAAACACATTTGCTCTCCTTGGTTTATAGTTGTTTTCACCTCTGACCTGAACTTGAGTTGGCTTCAACAAAAGCCAGATCGTTACTTGGTATTATGCATAATTCTTTGTCTTAAATTAAAAAAAAAAAAAAGTGTGTGCACTTCTCCCAAGCCATCTCACAGTCCAGGTTCCTATGCTTTTAGATGTCTGGGAACCACAGTGGACACACCCTCCACGAAATTTCCTTACAGTCTCCTTCCAGTATCGCTGTCTCTGCCAAGTTAGTATCTGTACGTTAGCTCCCCAAGTCTCAGGAACCCTTGCTCGCATACCTTTACCCACACTAGTTTACATCTCTTTGCCACAGTTACCTTGCTTTTCCTGTGGTTTTCCCTCTTCTCTTCAAATTGTCTATTTGATGTCAGGTAGTGCTTTAGCTTGTATGCACAGGGAATGTAGCCTTGGGGGTATATGGGGCATTAGTGAGGTGATTGATACAAACCGTGGCCAGATACAGAGGACACTCAGTGGCCTGGAAACATGGTTCGTTCTTACCCCTCCTCATCCAGTTCAGAGAAGAAATAGATTTCCCATGGGTAGAACCCACAAGGCCCTGGACGGTAAATCTGACTGTTCAATATTATAAAATACATTTAAGAAAAACTTGCCCGTGTGCCCCCAGGGCAATGCAAGTACTGGCTGATCCAGAAGCCTGACCTCTGTATCTAGATAGGGAAGGGGTGACCCAGGCAGGATGGGCGTTGGTGGAGGTTTATGATGGAGTAGAGGAAGATCTTTCCTTAGATCTGTTTGCTGCAAGGAAGTTGCTGAGTGGGTGATAGCTGGGCACAAATTGTCTGTTAAAACCAAGTGTGAGGTTTAATGCAATGAACAAGTCACTTTGGGACCCATTTTCACACAGGGGCAAGAAAACACAAGAAACGTCTGTTTCACCCCTCAGATGACCTGTAACAATGTCTCCGCTCAAACCACTGGCATGAATTGCTGCTGAGGCTGGTCACACATAACCCACTCTTCTCTTCCAGCCTAACCCTAGCTCATCACCACCACTGTGGCAGACTCCTTACTGAGAGGCAGAAACCTCGGCTGCCAAGAAAGCAGCTATTGAAGGAGTTCAGGAGCATGTGATTGAGTCCCCTAGTCACAACTGCCAGTTTCACACATCCTCTGTAGGGCCCCACAGGCAAGAACAGCGGGGTTGTCTTCCTCCTTTAAACTCTGGCTCAGACTGTGGCTCTATTTTATCCAGTGAAAATCCTCCAGGACTCCTATCAAGTCCAAAAATCAAAGGGTGGAAGTGTGGGCGGCACTGGTCACAGGTCGGCAGTCAGCCTGTTGACTCCTACGGTGCAATGCCCTGCTGGCTTAGAGGCCCTAGCTGCAGAAAGAGAGGCAGCTTCACCAGGAGAGAGAGTGATCTCACTGAGCTAAAAATTCGACAGCCACCTGGACACTCTGGGCTCCTCGAACCAAAAGAAGGAAGTTGAGGGTTTGGGGTGGGGTACTGACTACCAAAGAGAATCTGAGCTACTACTCCACAGGGAAGTGAGAAAGAGTGACTCGAATCCAGAAGGTCCCCAATGAAGGTTTAACTCACCCCATTGGGTAAAGGACCATACCAGCTGAAGCTGCCAAAGGCAACAGGAATATGATGTATAGTAGAACATGATTATAGTTACCAGCTGCAACCACATGGCAAGTTATAGAAATGAGAATATTACATCATTACCATGGCCTCTTTTTATGAAAAAGTGTGTATTTGTGTGTACATTACTGTGCTGGCTAGTTTCATGTCAACTTGACACCAGCGACAGTCATCTGAGAGAAGGGAGCCTCAATAGAGAAAATGCCTCCATAATACCCAGCTGTAGGCAAGCCTGCAAAGTATTTTCTTAATTAATGAATGATGGGGGAGGGCCCAATCCATTGAGGGTGGTGCCATCCCTGGGCTGGTGCTCCTGGGTTCTGTAAGAAAGCAGGCTGAGCAAGCCAGGAGGAGCAAGCCAGTGAGCAGCACCCGTCCGTGGCCTCTGCATCAGCTCCTGCCTCCAGGTTCCGGCCCTCACTGCTTTTGATAATGAACTGTTCTGTGGAGCTGTGAGTGAAATAAACCCTTCCTCCCCACGTTGCTTTCGTCCCTGGTGTTTTCATCACAGCAATGGTAACCCTAACGATTATCTACTGGTTCTTTTTCTGGAGGACCCTCATGAACACAAGGGGACACCACATTCAACCAGAAATTGCAGGGGGGGGATCCCCTGGGATTTGAAGGGCTGGAGGAATCAGCTAGCTGAGAATAGAACACTTGGCAGCAACAATAAGAATGAAACATAAAGCCATTTAAGAAGGCCGGAAGGGGCCTGGCCCTGTGCCACCCTGTTGTGCCAGATTGTGTTGACTGCTCATGGGAGTGGGCGGAGGGTGGGCTGGGGGGAGGTGGGAGGAGGCAGGGTAGATGGGAGGAAGAACTGTGGTTGGAATGTAAAATGAAATTTAAAAAAAAAAATGGAAAAGAAACACACAAACTTAAATGGGGCAAACAATAAAATGTGGGGGGGGGGGCGGAGCGGAGCAGTATTCCTGAAGCCCAGGATGTT